TTATTGTTATTATTTATCATTTGTTAAGCACTGATGATGGGACCTTTCTTAACCTGTCATCCGGGGAACAGATGGTTTATCTCAGAGTGGAAATTCTGGGATTTCAAAGATACAGTATAGGCGACATTTCCTTTCTGTATTACTTTTGTGAACCATGTGCAAGAAGAGGCCAGTGTAGCTGTGCTGTCTTCTTCAGAGTAGAGGCTTTGGATTTCTTTTATTGGGAATAAATTAATGCTTCATCAAATACTTTCAATTTCACTAGGAGGTGGTAAAAACAGTAATTCCAAAAAACAGATCTGTGCTTCCAAATACTTAAGATTGTCAAAACATCCACCTTTTAATAAGCCTCGTTTGGTTAAACTGAAGAATTTCCTTTGGCAGCTGCCTTTTTCTCATTCTGTGATTAGCCATAAGGGTGGTCCCAACCTATCAGGGATTATGCATTGGGAAAAGTGGAGTTGTAATATGCTAAACAATCAATCAGATTTGACACAGTGGATACAAGCAATGTTGGTTTAAAGCAAGAAATGATTGGTTTCAAACTTTACTGAAAACATGTTTCACAGTATTTGCTGAACAACCCAGTAGTACTAGTACATTCCAAATACATGCATATTTAGTATATGTTGTTCTATATCTGTGTATGTATAACTACACATAAATGTGTATGTGTAGCTATCTATCCACACAATGTGTGTGTGTGTGTGTGTGTGTGTGTGTGTGTGTGTGTGTGTGTGTGTGTGTGTGTGTGTGTGTGTGTGTGTGTGTGTGTGTGTGTGTGTGAAAATCCTCTTATGGAGGCAGGCAGAAGGGGAATGGCTTGACTCATGGTTTATAGCCACTAATCAATGAGTCACAACTTTGATTCTTTATCTTATTCCAAACCACCCAACTCATGTGCAATGAGGAAGCCAAGAGGAAATCATTGATTAGTGGCAGTTAGCTGCTGCAGTTACACTATTGCCAGTCTAACCACAGAACAGGATTTTGGCTTTTATGCTCTTTCTACAGCAGTGGTTCCTAATCCTCGGTCCCCAGATGATCTTGGACCAAAACTCCCAAAAGTCATCATTACCAGCTGTGCTGGCCAGGATTTCTGGGACCTGTAGTTCAAAAACATCTCAGGACTCTCAAAACAGTCCTTTCCATCTTTCTCTGTGTACCAACCTAGATATTAAGAGGAAGATATATATTCCTATCAGTTAATCTGTTTTCCCTCCAACAATGGGATTTCGTCAAATATGCAGGCTTCTCCAACCAGACTTGTAAAGTAAGCCTATGTTTACTTTCTTATGACCAATTGCAAAACAAAGTATGCTGAGTACGAGATACACATGAGGACAATGATGTGTTATGACAAGTGAATATTGTTCATCTCTTGAGGGAATATTCTTGAAAAAATAAATGCATTAAATAAACAAACACAATAAACAAAGTAGCTCAATAGCAGAGCGTATGACTGGTATACAGGTTGTAAATTTAATCCCAGTGACTCCAGATCAGGACTGAGGGAAAAAAAAACTTTGGTTTGGAACTCTGGAGATCAGGGTTGATTGGTGGAAAAAAAAACTTTTGTTTAGAACTCTGGAGATCAGGGTTGATTGGTGGAGATTAGAATTAGGACTGAGGAACCTGTGACCCTCAAGATATGGTTAGCCTTCAGTTCCTGTCAGATCAGCCACCCTGGCCCTTAGTGAGGAAGAGCATCTGGAGACTTCATAGACTCCCAGCCATTGTTTAGATCAGGTCAGGGGTGTATGATCTCCCTGCCACAAAAACCCACCACTGGACCTTGGATAGCTGTGCCCGATACATGGAGGGGTGGTGGTGCCAGGGACCCTCAACACATGGCAAAATTGCCCCTCCAGACCCCCTAGAGGGCACAAGGCCACGTTCAGAGTCAATTAAAAAAAGTTGGGAAACTGATAGTGTTGGGGGGGGCTCAAATATGTGCCAAAGGACACATTTGCCATCTACGTCCTCAGGTAGATATTGTTGAGTTAGATGGGCCAGTAATTTGACCCAATGCAAAACTGCTCCTCCTCTCGCATCTTCAAACAAAAGGAATTGCTTTATGGTTTAGAACGATAGACACAACACTGAAATATTCACAGCTTTTTATCTGCAGCTGCCCACTGTGGAGAGAAATGGCTAAGCATGGGTTCTTATAGTCATGTTTTTGCTTCTTGCATTGTGTTTATTAACTTATATTGTTGTTCACAGGGAGGATGGATTTGGGTTTTATGTTTTCTTTTCTGTGTTCACCATCGAGTGTAGTAATGGGGTGGTATAGAAAACAAACAAACAAACAAACGACAATGTCTGAGGCATCACATTAGAGAAGGTAAAACTGCCTGTGAAAGACTGCTATTTTAAAGACCAAGAGCCTAGCCTGGCCCAATCCATTTTGCTACCAGAGAAGCAGATGGTGTCTCGCCTCACCTGCCCAAGCCAGACTACACAAATCTAGCCAAATTGTTTTGTCACAGAAGGGAGAAAGTCACACAAACTCTTCTCTACCAACTTGGCCATAAAAATGTAAGAACAAGTAAGTATTTGCAATGTTTTCATGATGATCCTCAAATCGGCTGCTTGTGGCAACTGGTTCCCTCTGCCTAAAGGCAGGGTGGGTTCAGTCCATGGCTCACAAAGGTCTGGGTGAAAAGGAGGCCCTGGCAGTGGAGAAAGATGCAGTAGTGGTGTGGATAATGCTGCACGACACAGACCTTCTCTCTGTCAATGCCAGCCGGTTAACGTAGCATCAGAAGCTGTGCTCACTGACAGCTTTTGACCACAAAGTCAAATACCACTGCCCAACACCACAATTCTTGCAAACAGCAGAACAAAACTATCTTCCAACAGTCACAATTTAGAAACATATCAGGCTAAAAAGAAAAAAGAAGACAAAGCCGTCGTGGCACCTTAAAGACTAATTGCTATATGAGCTTTCATATCCACAAGTCCACTTCCATCACAAACGCTCACATTAAAATAGGGCAGCGAGTCTTTTGCATTTTTGTCTTCTTCATTTTTTTATTTTTCTTTTGTTTCTGCCTAAGAGGCCAGCATAGACTGGCCCAGCTCCCTGTTCTAGAACTGCTCATTTAGGAAGGGGGCAGGCTCTGTTTGCCCCCATGAAAGAAGCAACAAGGCGGCTCGAAGAGTCTCCGATACAGAAGCGAGGGACGCCTGGAGTTCTGCTGTGCGCCTTTGACTTGGCACAATGCCTCACAGACTGCACATCATCCACGGCCCTCCCGCCTCCTCTGCTTTGCCCGCTCCTGCCTGCGTTGTGGAGCAGCCCCAGGGATGAAATGCCAAAAGATGGTATTGAATCACTGCTGCGCTGACGAGCCCCACCTACCCGGCCTGCTCTTTAATAGTGCAGAAGTATGATCCAACCTTTACAACTTTCCTGTCTCCCAGGTGTATGCAAATCTAATTGGCTTTCATATTTATATTTAAATATAAATATAATTGCTATATGAGCTTTCATATCCACAAGTCCACTTCCATCACAAACGCTCACATTAAAATAGGGCAGCGAGTCTTTTGCATTTTTGTCTTCTTCATTTTTTTATTTTTCTTTTGTTTCTGCCTAAGAGGCCAGCATAGACTGACCCAGCTCCCTGTTCTAGAACTGCTCATTTAGGAAGGGGGCAGGCTCTGTTTGCCCCCATGAAAGAAGCAACAAGGCGGCTCGAAGAGTCTCCGATACAGAAGCGAGGGACGCCTGGAGTTCTGCTGTGCGCCTTTGACTTGGCACAATGCCTCACAGACTGCACATCATCCACGGCCCTCCCGCCTCCTCTGCTTTGCCCGCTCCTGCCTGCGTTGTGGAGCAGCCCCAGGGATGAAATGCCAAAAGATGGTATTGAATCACTGCTGCTCTTTTCTCACACAGTTCGACCTTCTGGGGGTCTGACATGTTGTAAACTCCACTGAACAAGCGCCAAACCACAAGCATCCGCTCCTGCTGGAGTGGTGACATTTTGCTATGAACTCTGACCATCCAGCGCTTATGCCTGAGAAAGCGGCTGCAGAGGGGCTTCCTGATTTTGTATTTCCCTTTTTATCTTGCTTGCTCCTGCCCCCACCTCTCTGGCCCAGGCACGGGTGTTGCGTATAGGGGAGATTTATTTTCCATATTTCATTGCTGTGGGCCGTTAATTATAAGGTGCCACCAATATGACTAGAAAGCACTGCACCATTTCAAAAGAAGCAGCTGGAAATACATAAGGAAATTTCCTCTCTTTTCCTCCTTCATGGCCTTCTTTCTCCCCCCACCCCCACCTCTCTGTTTCCAAACCATTTCGACTCTTCCTAAATTCTACTGCAGTATTTATCTATTTATTTATTAAATAGATTTCTACACTAGCCCATGCTTTCACAAAACTATTGATGGAATTGTTTTAAACAAACACTTTAAACACGCACACAGAGTAAGTACAAGATACGTAAAGGTGTAGCAAACTGCAGTTGAAAACCATAAATTGAAAAGCACTAGCAGCAACAGCGGCAGATTTCCAAGTATGAATGAGCTATCACAAATCAAATACCGCAGTATGATCTTTTATATCCTCTCACATGACACAGGGATCTTCAGGGATCAAGTGTCAAATGACCTACAAAGGATGCATAATCTATTGCCACGTGTAGTATATGCATATGTGATCATGCTGTACAGAAAAGGGGTCAGATCCAGAGTTAGTCTTCCTTTGAGTAGGCCACTGAAATCAATGACACTTAGGTTAGTTTATAGTATGCCCCATTGATTTCAGTGGCTCTCTTCTATGTAGGACTAACTCAGAATCTGACTGGGGGAGATTAATACTGAGAATTCATTCAATATATCTGAAATTAGATCTTAGCCTCTATTTCTGAAATGTAAAAACAGCATTATGAAGGCTGATTACAACAACTAAGCCCACAAGGCCCTTCTAATGTCATGGCCCCATTTAGTGGGCGGCCATTTCCTGAATGTTCAGGACGCTGGTGAAACTGGCAGCGATGTTTCAGGGGCAGGGTGCCTGCTTCTGCCGTTCCCTAAGATCTCAGAGTTACACAACCTGAAATCAGGAGGTAAGTCCTTGTGGACATCACAGGCTGGATCCTGGCACTGTCACAGAGCTGGCAAAGCTAGAGAGCGGGAACATTCTTCCTATGAGGTTTTGCTTTCCATAGGCCTCAGCCTGCAGCACACACAACCTGTGCAGTTTTCCCAGGCCCTATGGTTTGAGCTTCCGGAAGGCTCATTGCTATTCCATAGGGAGATTCCCCCCTCCCCCTTCTTTCTTTCTTTCTTTCTTTCTTTCTTTCTTTCTTTCTTTCTTTCTTTCTTTCTTTCTTTCTTTCTTTCTTTCTTTCTTTCTAGGCTCAATGCTGATGCTACCAGGACTCTCACAACAAGAAGGCTTGTAGCCAGGGATAGTGGGTCTTAAGTGCTCAGACAGCCACACTATGCAATCCATCACTAGGTGATCCAGATGTCTGGGGGAGAGCACCTCTAGATCACAGGAGGGGCCAAAGCATCTGCTCACACTTCTCGCTCTCTCCACCCCCCCTCCTGTTTTGACTTCTTGGTGCACCAATGGTACACAAAGACAAACATATGTATAAACCTTTTCATGCTAAACTAGTAAGACGTGGGTTGTTGTTGTTGTTGTTGTTTGGGTTAAATTTCATTTATTTATTTATTTATTTATTTGTTTATTTATTTATTTATTTATTTATTCCGCCCATCTGGCTGCCAAGGCCAGTCTGGGCAGTTTACACTTTAAACAAATATATCATCGAGCAACAATTTAAAAGAATGTACATAGCAGTTATAAAATCAAAATGAAACTCAAACCAACAAAATTTGTGTCATATGGGAATGGGATTAAAGCCATCACACCCATGAAAACCACACTTTCTGTTCCTTTAGCATCACTGATCCTAAGATTTGTCTTCCTGTCTGGAGGCCTTATGAAGTACAGTGTTTCCCTGAGACTTCAGCCAGGGGCCCTAAGACCAAGAAGTCCAAAAACACAGACACACGAAAATGTTCCTTACCTGTCTGGAATCCTACTATACAGTATATGTGGGCTTGCTAAGTGTATTTTTTTAAATTGTTAATGTCCCCCAAACAAAATAGGCACAAAGTGTGGGGGCAGTAGTGTATCAGGGGCTCTTCCTAGGAAAAAGAGGCAGTGGAATATAGATATATAGAAGAAATACAAGTGAAAAGAAGGAGCATTCACCCTTGTTGCTGTAACTACCGGTTACTCACATGTTCATACATGTGAGATGGAAAATAAAAGCCAGAGTCACTATTAGATAGTGTTAAATGTCTTAGAGCAGCCATGCTCATTTGAGAGATCAGAAAGATCACTGTGGAGTGAGGCCTTTCCACATATTTGTCATAAAAGTTAAGACTTACAACTCAGTTTCCTTGGGTTTTTGTTTACTTCAAAGATGGACTCAGGAACAGCTGAAAGTGGTTGCATGCACAACACTTTATGTTTCAATTAGTGATGCACAGACTTTAAAAGTGTTGGGTTTCACCATGCACCCTTTCTTCTCTATTTCTTTTTATTTCTTTCTAAAGGGGCTTGATGTTATTTGATAACTGGATGGCAGCTAGCTGGGAAATCCCATGAATGCTGCATTGGGCTTCTTGGGAAAACAGTAGGAATATGATACACGTAATAAAAGGGGATACCATTTTCAACCTTCATGGGCCATTTGCCCTCACCAGCTACAGGTGGATGCAAACACCATTTGTGGCTGTGCCCGGATCTGTCACACAAACATCTCTGCTTGTGGCAACAGCAGTTTATCCTCGGCATGAGTAGTTTACTGCTACAGAGCGATGCACTCTCTTCTTCTCTTTATCATCTACTTAGCTGGGCCTGACATTACCCAAGTATTCTTAGAGAAGACAGCTCCCCAAATACTCAAAATGGAGGTTGACACCGTGTTCTCTGCTCAGAGATCTGTAAACCCCAAAACCTATGGATTAGACTCCATTGTACATTTGTAGACGTAGCCATGCTAGTCTGTGCAAACGTATCAGGACAAAAAGCTAAGTCAAACAAACAATGCCCTCCCACAAAAAAACCCAAACAAACCCTAAAGGCTCCTTAAAGAATGTTACATATCAATGCGAGCTTTCATAGATATGTCTGATTAAGTGGATTTGTCCATGAAAGCTTAGATAGACATATAATTGTCAGGTTGTAAGGTGCCACTAGGTTTTGGTTTTGCCAGGAGGTAATCCAGTCATTATCCATATGTTAGTCTATCTGTATATATCTGGTAGAGGGGAATTCCTTAGATTTGCCTCACCACCACCATATGTCCTGTTTCATTGCCCCATTCATGTGGAGAGCAGCAAACCTGAGGAGGGAGAGCTCCTGTACCTACAGGAGCCAGGACCCTGGAAAAATAGGCTCCTGCCCTACATGAAGTGACCCCGTGGGATGGCATGAGGCTTCAAGCTCAGGGCCCTCCATATCCAGAGAGTGGTGAAACCATAAAATCATAACATTGGAAGGGGCCTACAAGGCCATCAAATCCAATCCCCTATTCAGTACAGGAATACAAATCAAAAGATATCTGCCAGATGGTTGTCTAAATTTCTCTTGAATGTCTCCAGTGTTGGAGCACTCACCACCTCTCAAAGTACAGTAACTGGTTCCATTGCTGTACTGCTCTAACAGTTAAGAATTCCCCCCCCCCCTTATATTCAGCCTAAATCTGGCTCCCTTTAGCTTGAGGCCATTATTATGTGTCCTGCACTGTGGGATGATCGATAAGAGATCTTGCCCTTCCTCTGTACGACTGTATTTCAAGTTGCTGAAGAGTGTTATCCTATCTCCCCTCCGTCTTCTCTCCTGTGCTAGCGCCCGGCCAGGTTCCTGCTATCCTTAAGGTCGCTGGAGCCTGGGGCCGGGGACTCGCCCTTTCATTGATCTAGGATCAATTTAACTGTTTCCGCACTATGGCAGGCCCCTCCTTCTGAATGAAAAATTTGGAATATGAATGTATATTAATAAAGTGTGGCCCATATTTTAACCCATATCAGTGTCTCGCGTTTTATTCTGGGGTTGGGAGGGCAATGTCCTGTTTCATTGCCCCATTCATGTGGAGAGCAGCAAACCTGAGGAGGGAGAGCTCCTGTACCTATGGATGCTCTCTACATGAGCCAGGACCCTGGAAAAATAGGCTCCTGCCCTACATGAAGTGACCCCATGGGATGGCATGAGGCTTCAAGCTCAGGGCCCTCCATATCCAGAGAGTGGGGAAACCATAAAATCATAACATTGAAAGGGGCCTACAAGGCCATCAAATCCAATCCCCTATTCAGTACAGGAATACAAATCAAAATATATCTGACATGTGGTTGTCTAATTTTCTCTTGAATGCTTCGAGGGTTGGAGCACTCACCACCTCCCAGGGTAATTGGTTACATTGTCATACTGCAGTTAAGAATTTCCCCCCTTATATTCAGCCTAAATCTGGCTCCCTTTAACTTGAGGCCATTATTATGTGTCCTGCACTATGGGATGATCGATAAGAGATCCTGCCCTTCCTCTGTATGACTGTATTTCAAGTTGCTGAAGAGTGCTATCCTATCTCCCCTCCGTCTTCTCTCCTGACGGCTAAACATGCCCAATTATTTCAGTCTTTCAGCCACCTCATCATCCTTGTTGCCCTTCTCTGAACTTGTTCCAAATTGTTGGAAGTGAGGTGTCCAGAACTGGACACAGTACTCAAGATGAGGCCTAACCAGTGCCGAAGAGAGGGGAGCTAGCACCTTGTGGGAAACCAGAAACAAAGGGGTGGGGTACAGCTCTCCCCTCTAATGAGGCAGAGAACATGTTGATAGATAATGACTGGATAGATCTAAGATAAATGTAGGAGATAAGACCCACGAGAATTTATTTCCTCTTTCCTCCCCACACCACCCCAACACACTGGACTATAACACTGATGTGAATAACACCAATCATGCTGTAGAACAGTGTAGACAAAAATGTGGACCTTCAGCTCTTGTTAGACCACAAGAGCTGCATTTTTGCTGTTGGCTACTTTGGTAAAGGCTGGTGGGGGTGGCAGTCTGGAGGGCATTACTTTGACAATTCCAGTTCTAGAATATATGAAATCAGCTCCTCTTTTACTCTTCCAGAAAAGAGACCTTCTTACTCACATGACAACTTTGATCCTCATAACAGTAATCATGATGAATTCCGTGGCCCACGAAGCGGAGGCATTTGGGACTCTGGAAAAGTTTAGTCGTTATTGATATAAATGTATACCATCAAAAACTCCATATGTTTGAAGGGACGAATGCAGGCATCCTGGCTTCCATTCAGCCTAATTGTTTGTGACTGAATGGTGGTGACAGCAATGTTTATGACTAATTATGGCAACTGTGTTTATGAAGCCAATTACAGTCCTCGGGTCTCCCTAAGCTTCTAGCTGTGCGGAAATGCCAGGAAATCCATCTTTTAAAAGGGACTGAATCTTCTGGTGCTCTGAATAAGAAACAACAAACTGATTTGATCAAAGGAGATGGCGGGCTGGTAGCGGCTGTAACAACTCTACAACTTTAACACAAAGAGCTTTAATAGCTTTTCCTTCTGAATCCTCTCTCATTTAAAATCAGCAGTAATCTCTTCTACGTGATTCTATACACAGCCACAGAAATCTATTGCAAAAGTTAAAATGATGCCATTTCGAAGGATATTGTCAAAAATAGGGAGCAAACATTTGGAAAAGTAACTTCCGAAAACAGCTTCCCGAATCCTCAATGTTGGCTGGAAATTTCTGGGTGTCGTGGCCCTAAATGAAAACACTTTTCAGCTAGAGAGGAAAAATTATTACAGATGGCTGCTACAGCTACCTGGAAATCACCCAGAATTCCTGGGAGAGTGGAATAAAGCAAGAATCTGGCATCTGAAAATAGAAAAGAAAATAAGGAACGATCTATTTTGCGTTAGTTTTGCAAGGTCCCCTTCCCTAGTCTTTCACATGTGTCAGGACTATATGAAGGGTCAGAGGCTAGAACAGAAACAACTGTGATCCAGAAAGAGAGAAAGCCAACAGGAAATAAATCAACAGTACACATGTTCATAAAGAAACACTTGTATGATAGTTCAAAGGGGAACTTTTCCCATAACCTATGCTTGGGGTGCTTATCCCTTTTTTATTAAAAAGAATCAGGATCAACAGAAATGTATGTCACTAGAATGACAGAGTTCATCAGCCTCTGTTCATGACAAGACTTGGGCATTCTTGTGAAGTGATTTCAAACACACATCTTTTGTTTTGGGACAGCATCCGTCTGCTTTGAAATTCTTTGTTCTGTTTTCACTTCATTTTCCTCCTATTGGTTCCAGTATCTCTGTGTGTCCTTCCTCTGCTCTGAGCCCTTCATCTGCTATTTTTTAATTGTTAAGGGAAGGCAAACGAGGTGCCCCAAGGGGAACAGATGGCATGCTGGAAACCACCAGCAAGACTCAGTCCTGGAATAGATTTTCACCTTCAGGCTCTGCACAGAGGTAATAAATGCTTCCTTGCCACCAATCAAGAATGCAAAAAAGGTGTGCAAATATATATATATATAAAACAGCTTACATTGGGACACATATTTGGCAGCACAATGTTTAAAGCATGATTAGATAAATGAGAATTCACTTCCTGAAACTGATACTTTTTTGAGACAATATCAGATCTAGACTATATGATGTTTATGTTCTTGGTATGTATCACTAAGTCATTTCCAGTTATGGCAACCCTATGAATAAGTGATCTTCCCATTGGTTTTCTCCTTGACAGTCCTGTTCAGGTATTGCAGACTTCAGGCCACAGTTTCCCTGATACAGTCAAACCCTCTCACCATGTGAAGGTGTGCATCCAAGAGAGAGGTACAACATTTATATTGTCTAGTGCAGTGGTCCCCAACCTTTTTGACACCGCAGACCGGTTGGGGGAGGACGGGGTTCATGTGCGGGTAAGGCAGGGCACCCTCTCCATGTTCACGTGCATGCGCAAAGGGGTGGGATCCATGTGCGGGTAAGGCAGGGCACCCCCTCCATGTTCACGTGCATGCGCAAAGGGGTGGGGTGTGCTCACACGGGCGCACGTGCACTTGCACGCATGAGTGAAGGTGGGGGCACATGCATGCACTTGCATGGATGCGTGAAGGGGCGGGGGCACTTGCTGGGGTGCACACATGCACTCATGCGCATGCGTGAAAGGGCTGTGGAGGTGCATGCGGGTTGGGGACCCCTGGTCTATTACACTTTTTCTTTGTTCTATATTGGTTACTTATAAATCTCTTTTTTATCCCCTCCAAAGCTCATCGCTTTCTTCTTCCACATTTTATTTTCACAACAGCCCTATGAGGTAGGCTGGGGAGAAGTGGAAAGAGGGAGAGAAAAGTAGACTGGTGCTAGACCATCCAGTGAGTTTCATGGCTCAATCAGAACCCAAGTCCAAACAAACACCCTAACCATTACAGTGAGGTATGTGTCATCAAGGCGGAACTGACTTATAGCAACACTAACAGGGCTTTCCCAGTAAGTGAGATATTAAAGGAATGGCTTTACCAGTTCCACTTCCCCAGTGAGTTTCCATAGCAAGTGGGGATTCAGACTCAGAGTCCTATTCTGTCACACTATCCATTACACACTCTATTCATACAGTGAACACAGCTGGGACAGAGACTGTTTTGGTCATCTTGGTGGATGACCTACCCTGGGAAATAGACCAGTGGAGTGTGTCCCTGTCGATTCTGATGAACCTCTCAGCAGCTTTTGATGCCATTGGTCATGATATTCTTCTGGGCCATCTCTCTGGGATGGGGCTTGGTGGCACTGTTTTACAGTGTCTATTGACTTTCCTTAGTGGTGAACTCTGAAGGTGGTGCTGAGGGACCACTGGCTGTTGGCCTGTGGTGTCCCTCAGGGTTCCATTTGTCCCCCATTCTACTTAACATCTACATGAAACTGCTGGGAGAGGTCATCTGGAGTGTTGGTGTTCAGTGTCACCAGTAAGTGGTTGACGCCCAATTCTATCTCTCCTTTCCCTCTAAATCTGAGGAAGCTGTTCCAGTTCTAAATTGGTGTCAGTAACAGAATGGAAGAGGGTGAATAAACTGAAACTTTATCCAGACAAGACAGAGGTGCTCCTGGTTGGTTGAAAGGCACATAAGGGAATAGAGATACAACCTGTCCTAGATAGGGTTACTTCCCCCACACTCCACCCCGGAAACCCAGCTTGAGTATGCTTCTGGCTTCAACCCTGAGGTTTCAGCAGTGGCCAGGAGTGCATTGGCACAGTTAAAATCAGACAGAGATTTGTCCTGTAGTTCAGTCTGGTTTGGGGACAGGATGGTGCACTCCTTTTTATGGTGACCATATGATGTATGGACCATCATGAGCCAGACTATCTCTGATCCATGCCTACTTGCACCTTTTTTTGTCCCTGTCAGCAGCTGCTGGTGTAGGGCTTTTTTTTGGGGTACAGGTAATATTGTTCTGTTTTGGTTCAGTTCCAGCATGTGTGAAATCACGAGCCAGCCTATCTCTGAGCTATGCCTACTTGCACCTTTTTGTCCCTGTCAGCAGCTGCTGGTGTGGGGCTTTTTTTTTGTACAGGTAATATTGCTCTGTTTTGGTTCAGTTCCAGCATGTGTGATTGCTGGGATCAAACCAACAAGTGGATGGCTTAAACTATCAATTTATTTAACCCACTTTATGATACTGGGAAACTGAAAGCATCCTACCACTTCCCCTTGGAGGGTGTGTGAGAGGATGCAAAGGTTTTTTGTTTTTTAAAGCCCTTGTGGGGCAGTGCTGATTTGATTGCCTAGAATACCAGTTAAGCGCTATGCCACTTAATTTTTTTTAATTGAAATCTTCCTCCCACTTTCCCATAGAGGAGGAAGAGGCAGGAAGGAACATCTCTTTTTTATTTTTTTATTTTGTTTTTAATCATTACCTTTAAGGGGAGGAAGGGCAAAATAGGATTGTTTGAGGCACAGTGTTGTTTCTGCCCCCAAACCATCAGATTCTTCCTTGTGGATGCAAATATCACCCCAAATGACATATTGCATCCCAAAGTATCCCTGTTTATGATGATCTAGGCTGGTCCAGGGCAGATCAATGTTGCATCCCTTTTTTCAGATAAATGAAATTAGGAATGTAGCTTTATTCACTATAGTATATCAGCTCTGATTATCTGCAACTGGGATGAAAGATGCAGTGATAGCTTCCACAGTACTTCACTTTTTGCAGCAGCAATTTGCATTTGCCCTGAATATTGTCTTACTGAGATGTTTGGGTCAAAATAGTTATTTTGAGGGAGTTAAATATTTTCTAGACTACATGTTGATTATGTGACTCTTTAAAAAAAGTCCACTGCCATTGCTATTCTCTATTTTGTAACCTTGGACCCATTTTTAATTGCATCTTCTTCGTCCCATGGAAATAGCCAATTTGTTAATTGGTTTGATTAGGAGGATATAGTATATTGAGTGGAATGATGTGGTAAGATATTAAATAGCTGCCAAGCTGATTTGAATACATTATGTCAATGTCATGGAGGCCCAAGGAAGTACATTAAGGACATGAACAATGCTTCATGGATGAATCACAGGAGTGATTCCAGTAATCAAGGATCAATATTCAGTCTTAAACGTCAGATGTCAGCCATAACATGTTCATAACAAATCAAGAAAGCAAAGATGGTAGTATCAGTAGGAAAATATTTTTCACAAGCAGCTCCAAATTTCATGTGAAAAGAGGGACATTTTTATTTGGTGCTGAAAAAGTCCCTAAAAAGGAATGGCTGAAATCCTGTTGCTCAGCTCTGTGTGTGCAGCAGGAATGATATCAACGGAAGTGGCAAATTGCCCCTGATCAAAGGCTGCCGATTTCAGACCACTCAATGCGATGAAGTCTTATCCACCCCAAAATCACCAAAGGAAGCGCAGGAATGATATAAGCAGAAGCGGCAAATTGCCCCTGATCAAAGGCTGCCGATTTCAGACCACTCAATGCGATGAAGTCTTATCCACCCCAAAATCACCAAAGGAAGCTTCTCATCAGTGGTGTTTTACCGCAGCTGATGTCATTATTCTCCCTGCGCAAGCAGAGCTGTGCAACAGGATTTCAGCCATTTACCACAGCTGATGTCATCATTCTCCCTGCGCAAGCAGAGCTGCGCAACAGGATTTCAGCCCTTGAGTCGTTCTAGCTCTGCACTACACCAAACCAGAAACCTTGAGTCATTCTAGCTCTGCACTACACCAAACCAGAAACCACATTTTCTTTCAAACTTTTTGCACAGAGGCACTAGAACTCTCTAGCCCAGAGCTCTATGTACCACACCAAACTACAATTGTGAGGAGACTCCAGGATGGAGCGCTGTTGGTTAAAGTGACACCAGACTGATCCAACTGTGTAATGCAGATATATCCAAGGATCACAACCTTAAAATGCAATTTCATAGAGAATGACTCATGACTTGAAAAGTGTAACTGACCTTTTTTTGTTGTTGTTATATTGCTGTACCTCCGTGGTTTTAAATAGAGGTAAAAAGCAAATACTGTATTTTTCCGTGTATAAGACACCCCCATGTATAAGACGCCCCCCACTTTTCTAACCCAAAAGTAAGACATCTAAGTGGGACTTAGCAAGTGTAGGGAGGAAGGGCTCAAAGCCCTACACAATCACTTTGATCCCCGCCTTCCCTTCCACTTGTTTTTGTTCTCTCCTCAGCTTACTTCCATATATAAGACAACCCTCAATTTTTATTCTAAAGATTTTAGACAAAAGTATAGTCTTATAAACGGAAAATACTATATATTCTAATGCATATAGAGTTGGATTCAATGTATCCCATCCTATGACCAGAGAACACTCCCTCCAGCAAAGGAAGCTCTTTCACTGGAAGAAGGCAAACCTTTGGATACAACCTTCCCATTTTATACTCACATTGAAGAGTTAGAAATGCAAAAACAATAGCTATGTAATGTGTTTGATGGGGAAATCATTTCAAAGCTCTGATGGTGTACTTCATGCACAAATCTTCAGAGATCCAGATAATATACACATGTTTGTAGCAAAAATCTGAGAAAGCAATCAATTAGGAACAGAAGGAAAGATGAATCACATTTACTGGTTTGTTGTTATTTAGTCGTTAAGTCGTGTCCGACTCTTCGTGACCCCATGGACCAGAGCACGCCAGGCCCTCCTGACTTCCACTGCCTCCTGGAGTTGGGTCAAATTCATGTTGGTGGCTTCGATGACACTGTCCAACCATCTCATCCTCTGTCGTCCCCTTCTCCTCTTGCCTTCACACTTTCCTAACATCAAGGTCTTTTCCAAGGGGTCTTCTCTTCTCATGAGATGGCCAAAGTACTGGAGCCTCAGCTTCAGGTTCTGTCCTTCCAGTGAACACTCAGGATTGATTTCCTTTAGAATTGATACGTTTGTTCTCCTTGCAGTCCAGGGGACTCTCAAGAGCCTCCTCCAGCACCACAATTCAAAGGCATCAATTCTTCGGCGGTCTGCTTTCTTTATGGTCCAGCTCTCACTTCCATACATCACGACAGGAAAACACAGCTGTCAAACCTACAGTTCAGTGCATTCCAATGGGGGGGGGGGGAAATTCCCCAAAAATTAACAAAGACTCTTAACAAAGCCAAATTAAGTTTGCAAAGGTTTTACAAGGTGCACTAACGATTCCAAGCATTTTAAACAGTTTTTGAACATTTTAAGACACACTTAAAATAGCGAAAACGGACACCGCTAAGCGAAACAGGGGGACCTAAACTGTCATCGCTAAGCGAATACATTGTTAAACGAGGCAATCGCTAAGCGAGGCACCACTGTAATTTTGTTTTACCTAATGG